ACTTCTGCTAGCCCCTTATATTATGTTCTGTTGGCGACCCTATCCACTTCTGCTAGCCCCTTATATTATGTTCTGTTGGCGACCCCATCCACTTCTGCTAGCCCCTTATATTATGTTCTGTTGGCGACCCCATCCACTTCTGCTAGCCCCTTATATTATGTTCTGTTGGCGACCCCATCCACTTCTGCTAGCCCCTTATATTATGTTCTGTTGGCGACCCCATCCACTTCTGCTAGCCCCTTATATTATGTTCTGTTGGCGACCCCATCCACTTCTGCTAGCCCCTTATATTATGTTCTGTTGGCGACCCCATCCACTTCTGCTAGCCCCTTATATTATGTTCTGTTGGCGACCCCATCCACTTCTGCTAGCCCCTTATATTATGTTCTGTTGGCGACCCCATCCACTTCTGCTAGCCCCTTATATTATGTTCTGTTGGCGACCCCATCCACTTCTGCTAGCCCCTTATATTATGTTCTGTTGGCGACCCCATCCACTTCTGCTAGCCCCTTATATTATGTTCTGTTGGCGACCCCATCCACTTCTGCTAGCCCCTTATATTATGTTCTGTTGGCGACCCCATCCACTTCTGCTAGCCCCTTATATTATGTTCTGTTGGCGACCCCATCCACTTCTGCTAGCCCCTTATATTATGTTCTGTTGGCGACCCCATCCACTTCTGCTAATACATTCATGCACGGGATTAGTGCCGTACATAATCCAACAAAGCTGCTGTAAACATTCCCCGTAGATCTCAAGTTACCGGGGTCGGTGGGTCTGTGGATGTAATCACAGTGGGCGGGGTGGGGCAGGAAACTTGTGAAGACGGTGGAATGTAAATGGACTGCGAGTAACGTAGATTTGCCAAGCGCAGGGAAGTACGTGTTTGCTTCATTGACCGACACAAGTATTTAGGTGAGGGGGGAGGGGGTGTCTCGGCCCAGTCCTACAAATACCACTGAAATTATGCCAACAATTTTTGCTGCACACGTTGGCTGTCCCACCTGTGCTGTGTTGTAGGTGAATTGGTCCAGTTAATTGCTCGAGTTAATAAGTCACCTAGTTTTTGGAGTGATTTAATTAGAGTCCCCACCGTAGTAAGTGTTGAATTGAAATCTTTGCCCGCCGTGTGTAAGGTTGAACATGTGTTGTTCTGCACCTCGTGTGCCACACGCTGTCATCAGTCAGTACATTCGCGAGTAAGTGCTAAAAATAGCTACTGATGCTGCTCATGCCAGAAAAGGGCCAAGGTTCTCTCACTTTTAGTCGGATACAAATCAACAGTGATGTAAGTATAGTCAGCTTTTCTAAGGGTATTTTTGGATGGGCTGTCTCAGTGTGTTGAACTGTCTCACCGTGTCTTAAAATGTCTGTCTTAAACTACCTAGTCTCACCGAGTAGATGACGTGAGACTAGATGAGTGAAATCAGTGAGACCGAGGTTAGACCAGACCTGTTGATTTCCTCCTTATATCGATCTCTTTACGATTGATTCTGGCACCGCTACAGAAGATAAATTGCCTGTTCTGGTCTAAGCCTAGTAGCACGGCGCCACTTCACAATGTTTGTTTTTCAACGAGCTATAACCTATACTGATCGGTATTTTTCTTGGAGTTACCACCGTGTATCTAGATCTATATTGTGGTGAGGTCTGATCTCCTTATTTGTGATCACTGACCTAACGTTTTCTTCAGCTTGTTACGGTGTGCTACATTAACACAGTGTTCAGATCAAAGCTGTTCAGGTGGTAATGAGACCGTAGTGTGTAAGACAACACAATACGTAACGGTAAGTGCATCTCACTACCCGCAATGTCGCTACACTAGCTCTAGTAGTTGTAGAGTGTTATCTATTAAATCATCCAGTAGTGTTGATGTGTTTCTACTTTCACTCGCAGATCTGGTTGTTACTTTTTGTTTTAACAAAGTGTGTTCACTGTAAACTTATGGACACCACAACACAGATCTCAATGAGGGGCTAGATATATGGTCAGAAAACTAACTCATTTGGGGACTAGAATATGTCGGAGTTAGACAAGTGATCCCTGTCTGAAAGAGTTGTGTTGTGGCCCTAACTAGCTGTGTCATAGCCCTGTTACATGACTGACTGGCTGACTGACTGACTGGCTGGCTGGCTGGCTTACATGACTGACTGACTGAATGACTGACTGACTGGCTGGCTGGCTGGCTTACATGACTGACTGACTGACTGACTGACTGACTGGCTGGCTGGCTGGCTGGCTGGCTGGCTGGCTGGCTGGCTGGCTGGCTTACATGACTGACTGACTGACTGATTGGCTGGCTGGCTGACTGACTGACTGACTGACTGACTGACTGACTGACTGATTGGCTGGCTGACTGACTGACTGACTGACTGACTGACTGACTGGCTGACTGACTGACTGACTGACTGACTGATTGGCTGGCTGACTGACTGACTGACTGACTGACTGACTGACTGACTGACTGACTGACTGGCTGGCTTACATGACTGACTGACTGACTGAGTTGACCGTCTCAGCTGGCTGATCCCCGCCCGTTAGAGCTGTGTTGTGACGGGGTGCACCCCCCCCCCGTGTTACCTGGCCGTGTCCCATCGAGATGTGCACCAGGCGACTGATCTGCTTGATTGATTAGCCTAGATATCCATGTCGTCACTCTCTCCAGGGGTCGGCCTAGTGGCTTTACAAGCCGTCCATCCATAGTCTTGTCCCCCCGTCTGCCTGTAAATGATAGGTTCATGCTGACACAGATCTCTACAAGCTTCTTGCTTTCTCGTGTCTGCTACACATTCTGTTGTGGCTAGTGGATGTCTGCTACAATTTTTGTCGTGGCTACTTGAAATCTGCTACAAATTTTTGTGGTGACTACTTGATGTCTGCTACAATTTTTGTCGTGGCTACTTTATGTCTGCTATAAATTCTGTGGTGGCTACATAGTTGAGACATAATACTACGATTGCATACGTGCGTGACGTCACACTGGTGAGTAGACCTCGAGGGGCGGGTTCGGAAAACCCCGACTTGGATATAAGCCATTGTAAACAATCTTTCACTGCTAAAATCGTGTGAGGCGACGTAGTTGATGTTACTTGGTATAGCCTACATGGCCTTACATTTAGCTTAAACTTTAGGCACCCCACTAAAACAAATGTGCTAATTATGTAGTCTAGTAGTAAATAAAAGAGCCGCCATTTGTTCTACAAATACTCTCATGTGACTGGTATAATGGCACTAGCTAGTGTCTGGCAATATTTGGACTTTTCCTAGTACCAACTCACCCTGTTCTAAATTTGGGTTTGCACTCAGTTTTCTTTTTATGATTGGGGAGGGGGGGGGTCGCTTATATTTATTTAGTTGGGTTTTTCGTTGCGCAGACACGTTTCTCTCTCTCTCTCTGGTCCGTATGTTGCCATAGCAACATGTAAGCTATAACATCGGTCAAATAGCAAGACTTTCTCTTCTGTGCTTGGAGTACTTTGTTAAGGAACCATAACTTCCAGCAACTTTAGACCACTCGTGACGAGAGTTAAACAATAAATCATGTGTCTTAATTACATGACATGCTTTTATGATGAATACAATATGAGACGAAAATAGGTGTGTATGAACTGGCTACTTGCGTCTACCTGAGAAATGTGCAGCAGCAATGTGTAATGTTAGGCCGTAGACAGTTTTAGCCTGCACAGGTGAATGGGACAAACCTACAAGTAGTTTTAACTAACTGTAAGTAGCTGGTGATAGATCCAGGCCCTGATAGCTCTGGATTGCTGGGTGGTGGTGGATGTGACAAACCTACGAGCAGTTTTAACTAACTGTAAGTAGCTGGTAATAGATCCAGGCCCTGATAGCTCAGTATTGCTGGGTGGTGGTGGATGTGACAAACCTACGAGCAGTTTTAACTAACTGTAAGTAGCTGGTAATAGATCCAGGCCCTGATAGCTCAGGATTGCTGGGTGGTGGTGGATGCGACTCTGTGTGACTGGGATGTGTCTTGGTGGATGTCATTTGTTGGTTGTCATTTGTTGGTTGTCACTTTGTGGTTGTGACTTGGTAATTGTCACTTTGTGGATGTCATTTGGTGCAAGAAGCCAACCGATGTTGTAGTACATGTTTGAACACCACTGACATGACTGATCAATCACTGACATGACTGAGCCTTGAAATGACTAAACAGTTATTGAGTTAAGATTAAGTGGTTTCCCCATGTGCTATCCGTAGTGTTGATGTGCATCATAAACTGAAAGTAAATGAGCTGTGAGGAAATGGTCTAATATATTTATCACACCACAGTATCTTCACGAAGTTTGAAATACTTCATCTTCGATTCTCCACTAGAATATAAAAAAGCTACTTAAATATATTTTTTTGTAATGTTATAATTTATCTTTACTAATCAGCTAATTAGTAAACTATTTATATATTTGCTAACTGCATTTACCTGTAAGCTTTAAATCAACAAACCTGGGAGAATTCATGTTGCAGTTATCTCTGGATGGGCTGAAGATTTATTACAGGTGTTAAAATAATTGTTCCTGGTGAAACTAGCAGGTCTAAGTTTTTAAAGTTTTTTGTAGCTAAAGATAGCAATTCCCCTGCTCCATGTGATGGCTGCTAACCTGTAGGTTTGCATATTTGTTGACATGAGTGCAATAATGTAGAGACTTTATACATGCTCTACATCACACAGTGGCAACATTGGAAGGGTTTCCTCTCTGTATTAATGCAATAAGGCACATTAGCCTGCTGGGGTGGATTCAACTTGCTGCCTGGATACATTTGATTCTGTGCTTATTCTATTGCTGGGACTGGATGTTAAGTTATAGAATTTGATTACATTTCTATAGGCTCTTGGCTGCATCCACATCTGCCCCCCCCCTTTAATACTGCAGTCTGTATGAGATGTGACTGTCATGACTTACAGTCACAAAGTCCACATGTCTAATGCTTTAGGTTTTATCTGGATACAACATGGTAAACTGTTGAACAATTATTATTTTCAGAGTTAGCCACAGTGAAGAAGGGGACACCACTCTATGGTCAACCAGACTGGTGGGGAGAGGGCAGTGACCATGACAAGACTAGTCAGCACAAAGGTCAGGCTGTGATACTCTAGATATTGTAGCACAATTCATCAATATTATATCAAAGCTTGTGAATGTTTGTATTTGTAAGCTGTGCTAATCTAGATATTTGTAGCACAATTCATCAATATTATATCACAGCTTGTGAATGTTTGTATTTGTTAGCTGTGCTACTCTAGATATTGTAGCACAAGTCATCAATATTAAAACTTGTGAATGTTTGTATTTGTTAGCTGTGCTACTCTAGATATTGTAGCACAATTCATCAATATTATATCAAAGCTTGTGAATGTTTGTATTTGTTAGCTGTGCTACTCTAGATATTGTAGCACAATTCATCAATATTAAAGCTTGTGAATGTTTGTATTTGTTAGCTACCAAAGTCTGTTTGCAATCAATAATTAATATTTCACCTGGGTTGTATCTAGGGGACTAGTGATAGTTGTGGTATGAAAAATTGTGAAGTGTTTTAGGAATACATTAGTCTGAATACTTTCTTAACCTACCATCTTATTAGATCTAACTCTAATTTGGGTCGTCTTATAAATTTGCAGGTGATAGAAGAAGTGAGACAAAATGTAGTCGCCCATCTAGTCTAGGCTTGAACAGTGAGGAGGCATCAGTCAACACAGTCAAGTCTGCCAGTAAGCTCAGCACAATGGACACGGTCAAATACGCTGGTCCTACATACATGGAAATACCCATCAAAGATGAGGATACAGCCCAAGGGGTCAAGGACATCCAGACCCCTCCCAAGAGTGTCACATCCTCGCTGTCAAGAGATAGCCTGTCCAACTCTCCAGATGTCAAGCAGGTCTGTTACAGCTAGCTGCTTCTCTCAGTTCTGCACCTAGTAATGTCTGATTAGACAAAAATAAATTCTGCACCTAATAATGTCTGATTAGACACAAGTTCTGTTCTTACTAATTTCTGACTAGACAAAAATAAATTCTGAACCTAGTAATGTCTGATTAGACACAAGTTCTGCACTTACTAATGTCTGACTAGACAAAATAAATTCTGCACCTAGTAATGTCTGATTAGACAAAAATAAATTCTGCACCTAATAATGTCTGATTAGACACAAGTTCTGTTCTTACTAATGTCTGACTAGACAAAATAAATTCTGCACCTAGTAATGTCTGATTAGACAAAAATAAATTCTGCACCTAATAATGTCTGATTAGAAACAAGTTCTGTTCTTACTAATTTCTGACTAGACAAAAATAAATTCTGCGCTTAGTAATGTCTGACTAGAGAAAATAAATTCTCTAGGCTGACTTCAAATAGTTTTTTCTATAGTTGGTCTCTTAGCTTATAACCCTACTAATTTGTGCTCAATCTAATCCAGATGCTTGAAATATTTTCTAGTTATCCTTAGCCAAAAGTGCCAAAGAACAAAGTCCTAGTATTGAACTCAACCCTTCCACGTCTTTCACTATTGATCTCGATGACCTGGACCACCCACCAAAGAAAGCTTTGAATATTGGTAGCAGCTTAAGTGAATTTGTACCATCCAAAATCCGTAAGAACTTTCGGGAAAGGAAGACTCAGTCCTCAAAAGCTGGTTCTAAGGAATCCACACCTAGCAAAAATTCTGTAAGTTTTACTACATTTTAGTTTACAGTGGGCCTTGTAAAAACCTGCCTGGTTATGTTGTATCACTGCCCTAATCCTAGCAGACAACAATAGCCCAGAGATATAATGTTTTCCTTTTTTTTAAAAAGGAAATCCTATTTTTGCACACAAAGTTTTGATGGTGATACATTTTTATATAAGAAATTTTTTTGAACTAATGTTTTTATTTTTTAAAATTAATACCTTAAATTTTAAAAATTTCCAAATGGTAATACCTTGAATTGTTTGGCCTATATTGTTTTAGGTAATCAGTTACATCTCTGATTGTTTACACAATATTGTTCTGCTTAACCATGAGCCTTCACCAACAAATAAATACTAGAGTTAAATCCAATAAGATATAATTAAAGTTAACAGGTGAATACAATTTTTCTTTTCCAGTTGATTATAAAGTTCATTTTTTTCTCCCACTGTAGGAGGAACGTGAGTTATCTCCCCTGCACCAGCAGAAGTTAGATGAAATCCATAGCCAAGTGGTGGAGAAGAAGGGGAAATCTTCCCGCCTGTCCAGTGTTCACGCCACTGTTGGCTCCTCCCTCAGGTCTCCTAACTTAGAAGAAATTGACAGGTTGTCAGAGTTTTCTGATGAGAGGAGGTCAATAGAAAGGGATGGAGGTAAGCTTTTCATCGCCAGCTTGGCTAGAGTTAAATCTTGATCATGTGCTGGGAGAGAGCAGTTTTAGTCTAGCCACTCACCACTTGACTGCTAGCCCAAATTTTTTTAGTTTAGATCTCAGGGAAAGTAAAGGCCATTTAGTATAGTGCTGACCACACAATCCCTTCATATGCCAATGTCAAGAAGCATATAAATTCCATCTACCCTATAGAACATTAGATCCAAAAGGGGAACTTTATTTTACTTATTTCCTGACCATTGAAACTTTTCTTCCAGCCAAGAAACCAGTGCCTACAAGAAGCCCCCAGATCTCTAAGATGACCAAGGTTAAACCCTCCCCCCTGACCAGTGGTCCTAAGAGCTCTGGCCCCCACACATCTGGCACCCACACATCTGTGTCTGCCGCACACACATCCCCATCTGCCGCACACACATCCGCGTCTGCTGCATCCTACCTGTTTGACAAGATGTTTGAGACGGGCAGCAACGCCTCAGCTCAGAGTGACAAGGAGATGTCACCAGAGCAGGCCATGTACAGGGAAGCTGCCGGACATGACCTCTTGACCTCCAGACATTCGGGGGAGAAAGTGATCCGGCCTGTCATTGACTCGTCAGCAACAAAGCATGTCTCACCTGGTGCTAAACCAGCCAGAGCTGACAAGGCTGTCAAGCAGGTGCTGAAGGCAGTCAGCAAGGAAGAGGATGAGTTCATTGATGAAGATGACCTGCTCATCACAGAGGACAATTTGGATGATGAAGACAAGGTTGGTCTGGTTGTTAAGGACGACAAAGAGGACAAAGCTAGTGAGGCAGGGACATACACCATTGAAGCTGATGTGAAGGAGGGGGAGGAAGAGGAGCAGGCGGCCAGGATGAGGATTGACCAGGTATTTGGGGTGGACGTGGACGACTTCACGTCTGATAAACCTTTGATCAACCCCCTGCGCCTGGCCAGCCCAGGGGGGTATGACAATGTGTATGAGGATTATGGCAATAACATTGAGGGGGACAAAACTCCTTTAGATGAGAGCGGTTCATTCCCAATTGATGACGATCTCACTTTAGATGAGGATTATGACGATGAAGAGGATGAGAGCATGGAGGTGAGTGTTGTTACCGCACTTATCTATCAATTACTGGTTTATAGTTAATTAATTGATGTAGAAAACGATTAAATAAGCTCGTAATTTAAATGTTGAACATTTCAAACGGTTATCTAATTTTAATGTTGATTTAGTGATCGCTCCAGCGCATGATGGGGCGTTCCAAAACACGTGCAACTTTGGTTTTTAATAGTAGGACTTGTAAGTCTCGTTTTCTCTGACTTAGAATTAGAAATCTGTTCAGGTGTACAGAGTTTTGTAAAGACAGGGTGTTCAAAGTATTGTACTTGTTTGGTAAGTTTTGATGAATCGTATAGATTTGGGAGTAACAGTGGAAGGCTGTTGCTGATTTTGTTTCGTGGGTATGAAATATCAGTTCTTGAAGTGTTAAAGTGTGTATTTTTTATTTGGCTGTTGTCGTGTAGTTGTAGGGCTAGTGGAATCTGATTAGTAGTAGATAAATGAGAATGTAGGTGATAAGGTAACGTAGTTATGGAGTTCGGGAGTATCAAGTCTTGTGGTATTAAGGTATCGAATTATGTTGACTGCTATCGTGTAGTAGTAGGTCCAGTGAAATCGTTGATTGAGGGTATCGTTTGTAGAGCTTGGTGAAGTTAGGCGAGTTGGTGTCATAGTTCTGGAGCAACGAGTCTAGTTATGTCTAGGTATCGAAGTTTGACATCTGTTGTGAATGTGGTAGAGTTTGAGTATATTGAGTAGTCGAGTTTATTGTAAGTTAGATTATTTCAATTCAGGATGGAACACACTACAAAGAAAGATAGGCATTCTCTAGCTGAAGAATCTTGGTTTTAGGAATCTATATTACCACTCTTATAGTATATTGTATAGGCTGGAATTTGTAACTAACCAGTAAACTTTGTTTTTTTTATCAAATTATAATTTTTTAAATATTTTAATCAATAATTATAGCAATGTCTTAAATTGTTACCCGTATTTGATTTTTTTTTAAAGGTGTCCCTTGATTTAGGGGATCCAAAATTAAGTATAGTATAATTAAATGTAATTCTCTATAATCAGTAGTATTTCATCAAAATTGACTAGTTGAAGTATGTTATAATAAAGCTACCATGTTTAGACTTTCAAACAAAACCTATAGTTAAGTAGTTAATTATTAAAATATATTGTTTTGACACGGTTACATAGCTAATACAAAAGACTTGTTATAATTATAGCGCAATGAAATTTAAACCGCTTTATTGTGGTTTTCAAGCATGTCCTAGTTACACTTGGTTAATTTAGCTATTATTGTGAAAGTTATTTCCCTTGAATGAAACTGGTATTTGGATTACCAAATGGAAGATAATTCTTTGTTTAACTTTACATTAATTTCAAATTCCTGCAACTTAGGTTAACCGCTTACTAATAAATACAACTTTAATTTATTATTTGCTATTGTAAAAATTATATAGAGCAGAAGTTCTGAACAAAATAGTTTGGTAGATTTTTTTAGCATTATTAAGTTGATAATATATCAGTAGCCGTTGTAGATTGCAATACTAAATATTAATAGACATATAGTATGAGAGTGCAACAAATGCGTCTAAAGGGCGGAGGGGGGCGGGGGGGGGGGGTCTACGTCGCAAAGTAGAAAGTAGGCTGGTGGACAATCTCAATTTCAATAGAATGCGATTACGCTTGCAAACTGGAATTGAAGGAATTAGTACAAACTTTTGCGGGCGAAGTAGGCAGGTAAAATTTGATTTTGATGTGTACTTATAACGAGTATGCAAATGACAATAAATTAATGTCGCTTTTAAATAATTATTTTCTTATACATATGTTTAGTAATTTATTTGTGTTTTAATAAGCTTTGCCAAGGGCGTTAAGTAAACTGGCGCCGGCACTGCTTAAATTATAATGGAAAATGAAAGAAAAATACTATCTTGGAACTCTTGTACTTTGTACTACCCATTTATGACGTACACGGAAGGGGAGGGGTCCGAACATAATACTGGTATCCTGCATGTAAAAAAACAAACGTCGGATGGGGGGAAGGGGAAGAGGAGGGTGTCTAATCCGAACATAAAACTGGTATCCTGCATGTAAAAAAAAAACGTCGGATGGGGGGGGGGGGGGGGGAAGAGGACGGTGTCTAAAATTTGAACTTTTTGTGGACTTCATAAATGGATGACCCACAAGATATGTTTTTTTAGTTAGAGACTTGAAAAATATTGCCAAGGCAGGTTCATACACCTTTTACACAAGGGAGATAAGCAGGTTTTATATTTAGGTACACATTGTTTGATATATTGCCACTGTAATTTTAGATGTTACTTAACAAATCGTTAGTAAGTTTAAAGCAAGCTTTTCAATCTATAATATTTTCACCCCCTCCTTCTCTAAAGATGAGTGCTATCAAATTGAGGTAAAATTGTTGTAAGCATATTGTGGAAACCACTGGACAACATGACGGGCGTGTGAAGTGCACTCAATCACTCATTGCTTGAGAATCTATGTCAAACCATCAAGGGATTTTTTTGTTGTAGTGTCCCCTTGTGGTAGTGTCCCCTTGTGGTAGTGTCCCTTTGTGGTAGTGTCCCCTTGTGGTAGTGTCCCCTTGTGGTAGTGTCTCTATTGTAGTAGTGTCCCCTTATGGTAGTGTCTCTATTGTAGTAGTGTCCCCTTATGGTACTGTCCTCTGTGTCAGTTATCTGTGGTAGTGTCCCCTTGTGGTAGTGTCCCCCTGTGATAGTGTCCTCTGTGTCAGTTATCTGTGGTAGTGTCCCCTTGTGGTAGTGTCCCCTTGTGGTAGTATCCCCTTGTGGTAATGTCCCTTTGTAGTAGTGTCCCTTTGTAGTAGTGTCCCTTTGTAGTAGTGTCCCTTTGTAGTAGTGTCCCCCTGTGGTAGTGTCCTCTGTGCCAGTCATGTGTGGTAGTGTCCCCTTGTGGTAGTGTCCCCTTGTGGTACTGTCCTCTGTGCAGTTATCTGTGGTAGTGTCCCCTTGTGGTACTGTCCTCTGTGTCAGTTATCTGTGGTAGTATCCCCTTGTGGTAGTGTCCCCTTGTGGTAATGTCCCTTTGTAGTAGTGTCCCCTTGTGGTAGTGTCCCCCTGTGATAGTGTCCTCTGTGCCAGTCATCTGTGGTAGTATCCCCTTGTGGTAGTGTCCCCTTGTGGTAGTGTCCCCTTGTGGTAGTGTCCCCTTGTGGTAGTGTCCCCTTGTGGTAGTGTCCCTATTGTGGTAGTGTCCCCTTGTGGTAGTGTCCCCTTGTGGTAGTGTCCCCTTGTGGTAGTGTCCCCTTGTGGTACTGTCCTCTGTGTCAGTTATCTGTGGTAGTATCCCCTTGTGGTAGTGTCCCTTTGTGGTAATGTCCCTTTGTAGTAGTGTCCCCTTGTGGTAGTGTCCCCTTGTGGTAGTGTCCCCTTGTGGTAGTGTCCCTATTGTGGTAGTGTCCCCTTGTGGTAGTGTCCCCTTGTGGTAGTGTCCCCTTGTGGTAGTGTCCCCTTGTGGTACTGTCCTCTGTGTCAGTTATCTGTGGTAGTATCCCCTTGTGGTAGTGTCCCTTTGTGGTAATGTCCCTTTGTAGTAGTGTCCCCTTGTGGTAGTGTCCCCCTGTGATAGTGTCCTCTGTGCCAGTCATCTGTGGTAGTATCCCCTTGTGGTAGTGTCCCCTTGTGGTAGTGTCCCCTTGTGGTAGTGTCCCTATTGTGGTAGTGTCCCCTTGTGGTAGTGTCCCCTTGTGGTAGTGTCCCCTTGTGGTAGTGTCCCCTTGTGGTACTGTCCTCTGTGTCAGTTATCTGTGGTAGTATCCCCTTGTGGTAGTGTCCCTTTGTGGTAATGTCCCTTTGTAGTAGTGTCCCCTTGTGGTAGTGTCCCCTTGTGGTAGTGTCCCCTTGTGGTAGTGTCCCTATTGTGGTAGTGTCCCCTTGTGGTAGTGTCCCCTTGTGGTAGTGTCCCCTTGTGGTAGTGTCCCCTTGTGGTACTGTCCTCTGTGTCAGTTATCTGTGGTAGTATCCCCTTGTGGTAGTGTCCCTTTGTGGTAATGTCCCTTTGTAGTAGTGTCCCCTTGTGGTAGTGTCCCCTTGTGGTAGTGTCCCCTTGTGGTACTGTCCTCTGTGCAGTTATCTGTGGTAGTGTCCCCTTGTGGTACTGTCCTCTGTGTCAGTTATCTGTGGTAGTATCCCCTTGTGGTAGTGTCCCCTTGTGGTACTGTCCTCTGTGCAGTTATCTGTGGTAGTGTCCCCTTGTGGTACTGTCCTCTGTGTCAGTTATCTGTGGTAGTGTCCCCTTGTGGTAGTGTCCCCTTGTGGTACTGTCCTCTGTGCAGTTATCTGTGGTAGTGTCCCCTTGTGGTACTGTCCTCTGTGTCAGTTATCTGTGGTAGTATCCCCTTGTGGTAGTGTCCCCTTGTGGTAGTGTCCCCTTGTGGTAGTGTCCCCTTGTGGTAGTGTCCCCTTGTGGTAGTGTCCCCTTGTGGTAGTGTCCCCTTGTGGTAGTGTCCCCTTGTGGTACTGTCCTCTGTGTCAGTTATCTGTGGTAGTATCCCCTTGTGGTAGTGTCCCTTTGTGGTAATGTCCCTTTGTAGTAGTGTCCCCTTGTGGTAGTGTCCCCTTGTGGTAGTGTCCCCTTGTGGTAGTGTCCCTATTGTGGTAGTGTCCCCTTGTGGTAGTGTCCCCTTGTGGTAGTGTCCCCTTGTGGTAGTGTCCCCTTGTGGTACTGTCCTCTGTGTCAGTTATCTGTGGTAGTATCCCCTTGTGGTAGTGTCCCTTTGTGGTAATGTCCCTTTGTAGTAGTGTCCCCTTGTGGTAGTGTTCCCTTGTGGTAGTGTTCCCTTGTGGTACTGTCCTCTGTGTCAGTTTTCTGTGGTAGTGTCTCCTTGTGGTAGTGTCCCCTTGTGGTAGTGTCCCCGTGTGGTAGTGTCCCCTTGTGGTAGTGTCCCTATTGTGTTAGTGTCCCCTATGCTAGTCTCCCATTTAAAGGACGAAAATATGTAAGTAACCCATCTTACAGACGACCCTGATAGACCCCGCTTATCTCCG